GGGTCGAGTTACCTTAAAATGGGCGTATTTTCATTAAAATCAAATCTGGCATATTATAAAGAAACATTCGCGTAGTTTCATTGAAGTATTTCTTGACAAGATTATAGCAATTTTTGAAAGGATTAAAATTCGTGGCTTAAAGGCATCTCACTGAAAGGCTGACTGTGAGCCTCACGGGCTAGTACGAAAAAATCGTCTTCTCAGCTGACTAAGAGTAGCTTGTACGGTTGTACTTATTGATTCGTAATGTTTTACTATTATATTATCTTTGACTACTATTTAAGTAATTAAGTAATACTTTTTTATCTATTTTGTATCTATATTCCTTCTACTCATATTCTTGTTTGGGTCACCTACTCGGTTAGTTCCATGAACTATTTACGTGTCCCAAACTCTGCCCAATGAACCTATAATTGAAAATTTCTTTTCCTTCACAACCTCTCGATTTCATATTTTAAAGCACTAATTTGTATTAATTATTATTCTGTGACAAATTGACTTGACTTGACTTGACTTAACTGCTTCAGGGGGACTTCCAACGCTTTTAATTTTATTTTCCTTGATCTTTGGACCCTTGATTTTCAATAATCCACAAAGTAATGTAAGCAACAAAATTTGGAAACGCTAAACATTTACTAAACAACGGAAAGAAGCAAGGCCGATTTTACAGTTGGGAATACCGCAAAATTCCGAAATAAGCCCTGGGGCTCATATTTTTTAAAGGCTCTTTTTGAGGGAGAGGAGGGGCTTATCTACGGAGAGAGGTTTGCCTTTCAAAATCGATTGGGCTAGCCGTATAGTTGGAAGTAAATTTACCGCTTTTGCTTTGTTTTACTTTGTGTTTGAGGACAACTTTTCAAGTACAATCCCAGGGGGGCTTATATTTGGAGGGGCGATTTAGCGGAGGGTTTTTTGCGTTTTCGGTTTGGATGACTTATATTTGGAGGGGCTTATACATGGAGGGGATTATTTTCGGAATTTACGGTATAATTTTGGTGCCAATATTCGAAAGGCACGGCTTGACGTACCTAAAGAACGAAGGCCGTGCCTTTCGAAATATTGGCACTACATTTAAATTTTGAGAAAAACACATGTTGTAAATCAAGATGAATGAATTGAGAGCAAAGCAAAAGTTGTTCCTTTGAAATGTTTAATAGTTCTCGTTTAACAAAGAGACACGTACAGAAGGCGTGTTCTATCGAAATTACATGTCAGGTGCTCCAATATTTGTACACATGTCACTGCCTGCTATATGAAAGACACAAGAGAGTTGAAACTAGATTTTTCCTAGGTAGTGCAGATTATAGCTGTCACAAATGTTATAATTTTGTTGTCTCGACATCCTTCGACGACAGCTGAACTCCGGGACTTTATTACAATTTTTATGATTTTTGTGTATAAAAGTCCATTGCGTTTTGAATTGAATTGTAAAGATGTATGAAATAATCACTCCATACTACTTTAATAGAATGTACCGCGCGTCAACATCAGTCCCACGCTCTGCACGGTCAAGTTTGCGTAACAAGACACTATAAAGCGCGGGATAAAAAATGATCGACCTCGATTTAATGTGTATTTTTCTGAGAAGGGCCACAACATTGAATGGTTTTGTTGAATTAAACACGGGACCTTTCAGGTCAAGACAAAGAGTTTTAACATTCTTCGAGGGAATTTCTTGGCTTGAACTCACTGAAAGGCTGAGTAAAATATGGCACTGCAAATTGTGACGTCACGAAAGGTTCGTCTCCTCAGCTCAGGTTAGGAGTAGCTTGTTAATACTTTGTACGGTCGTACTTCAGGCGGACTTCCTTCCGACGCTTTCAATTTTATTTCCCTTGATCTATGACCCTTCTTTTTCAGTAATCCACGAAATAACCTCCATTTTTAGGCTAGCTAAATACAAGTTGCTAATAGGTAAACACTGCAGTTGAATCAGTTCTATTACACCGGAAAGTGACGTCTTGTTTAGTCCAGAAGTCAGAAAATTTAATTATAGCCAAAAATCCCTTCCTCTAACATCCGAATAGTATTCTATCTTCGCTGATCTATGCCCAGCGATTAGGAAACGAGAGTTGCTTCGCAAGTGATTTCGTGTTGGTTTCACTTTTGCGACATCGCCACCATCTTAACGTTTCTATGTACATCAGTCCCTACTTAAGACGTTTTTAATAATAATTGTCCCTAAGAGGTTTTATTCATATGCCAGCTCGGTTATACTGACGTTAGTCTAATGTCTTTTTAACGTTCCTTCATCCGCCGTTTTTTCACGTTTTCACGAACTCAGATCATTATTAGAACGTTAGTATCGTTCTCTTTTTGTTTCTTTGTAGTTTGGCTCGTTTGTCGTACGTAAGTCATGCCGCTTTTTAACACAGATATTTTGATTCGTTCCAGTTTGGAATCGGAAACCGGATGGCCTAGAGGTCCTGGTGTAGTATCAGCCCAAACCCAGTTGACGGGGACTAGCTCGGGGCGGCTATATACAACAAGGAACGTTCAGTCTCTTCAGTTCTTCACGCGGCTATTTTAATGCTCTTCTTCTCAGCACAGTCACTTTACAATCAATTTCAGAGTTCTAGCGTTCTGCTTCTATGGAGAAACAGCCGAATTCACACTTTAAGGTGCAAACTGTCACTCAGATTCAGTTCATTAATTTCGAGAAGACATCTACAACATGATGATGCGTCATTGCAAAGTTGACGGATTTCATATATTCTCAATACTAGGACTTCTCGACCTCATGAATAATTCATGAAGAGAAAACAAAGGAAATCTCTACCGTGACAGTGGTTAGGATATCGGATCTTAATAACCATAAAATTTTGTCAACTTTCCCTTTGAATTTCTTCAGGAATTATTGATTATTTCAAACACTCCACTCAGTTTTTCATCCGATATCCAGACACCTCGAAGTCTAGTGGGGCTTAAAAACTCGGCTGCGCCTCGTTTATCAACCCACTTCTCGGTGTCTACTGAGATATCGGATGAAGCACTGCGTGTCGTGTTTGATATATCACTTAACTGCTTCTATAAAGACAACGCCAGACTTATATAGGAAAAATTAGCCTTAGGATCAGTTTGGTAATAACATTTCTATTACAAGTTTAGTAGAAATATCTTAAAATAACTGAAATTTTCGGCAGATTGCAATTATTTACCTCTAACAATAAACAAATTAAATGTGGAAAAGGCGGGCTTACCCGAGAGCGAGACAGCTGAACGAACTACAACTTTTATCATATCATACTTTTATCATAACGAGCTATTCACCAGGTAACACGCTTAATCAAACAGTACAGGATAGCAATTAGTTCCTTCCGAAAGAAAGGCGATTACAAGACTTTTCCATTGAAACTCCAGTTTAAGAGGTGTAAGCAGCTTTTTAGGTTACAAAAATTAAAAGAATAACAAGAATCAAAAATTACCAAAAATATCCATCAACATGACTTCGGTTCAGAAAATAAAAGTTTTATACCCGTAACTGTCCGAGCTCGTCCAGTTACGGCAAAGTAAGAGTGTCTTGTAATAACTTCCTTCATTGGGATAATCTTAGGAAAAAGGTATAATTTCCAATAACACTAAAATACTACAACTAAACGTATTTGAACAGGACTATTCCTGTTTGAAATACTGATTGCTGAACCAACACCATTTTGCAACGATTCCACTTCCAGAAATGAAAATTCCTTTTTTATCTATACATTTCCAACTTTGTATTTCACGTACAAAATACTGAGTTTTTGCGTACTTCATCACTGGGGCCCGAATTCCAGAAAGTCCCTATAGAAAGCTGTTGTTTACATTCAATACAGAGGTTTCAATAGCTCTGCAGACTCCATAATAAAACTATCGGTTAACGAAACAATATGGGCTGTTTTATTAGCTAGAACCTTCGATTCTTTTTAGATTTTGATTTACCGGGACGTTCGAGTAACTGGTCCCTGGTGTTAAAAATACCGTTACGTTGGACTGAGGGAAGAGGACGATGGTATACGGTAATTATTTTCATACCCCAGTGAGCCACCTACACGACCCCGCATACTATGCGGGGGTTTTGGGTAACGGACGGAGGGTGACGTTCACCATTTTTCAAGAAACAAAATATTGATTTACTGGCCCTTTTTCGTAGGTAAGCCATATATATATTTTTTACTTTTGGTACAATTTTATAAAATCTGTCTAGGAGAATGGTTTTAAAATCGAATGCTCTTGAAGAACTACAGATCCCTTTACAGACTACTTTTAATTAACTTCAAGTCCTTAAGTAGCGTGGGAGAAAATTCTACGATACTTCTACAGCAGTCTGCGTTCATTTAAAAACGTTTTGACCGGCCCCAGGTTTTCCAAAGCAGTCTCTATTAAAACGGTCCTCAAGCTGTCTGCAGTCTTTGTTTCCTTTTACTCCTAAGTTCTCTTAGTCTGATGGGACAGTTTTAGTGTCACTGTTAATCGATCCAAGCTTTTCGCGAATGTTGAATTTTTCCACGAATTATTTGTCTCACATCTGTTTTTAGCTTGCATTTTATTTTTCAAGATTATCGTACCACGAATGCAAGAGTCAGTTGCATAAAACGCTATTGCCGACGCATCCGCTGCCCTCTAATGTTTAAGTAAAGCTGTCACTATCTGCTGATAACGTTTTAAACACTTTTTAATGAACGGTACCCTGCGATTGAAGACTTGGATATATCGTCCTTCAGCCGAGCATGTCGTCTGCCTGACGTCCAAGTGTAGTAGTATTTTTTTCTTGCTGATATTTGGCTATTTTTTTCTCTTCAACTCCAACTGCGTTTGTGTTTTGTTAGTTTCGTTTAGGCTCCCAACACTGCTCTTTGCATTATTTTTTAATTCTGAAAGGCGCGCTTTAATTGCTCCTGGATCTCGCCCCATCATCCTAATTTCTTAATTTGTTAGCGTTTTTTTGGTCTCCCAAAATTCTTCATGGCTCCTTGCATTTGCAATTCTTGAATTGACGCTCTAAGTTCCTCTGGATCTAGCCC